GCAGCATGAATGTTTTCACACGCTAGCCACTTACAATCTCTCCATCTCTGCCCTGGTGTCTTCCAGCGTGGGGCCATATCTTGGCGGTGCAGTCTGGGCTGCCCTCCTGACTCCACCCTCCACCTCCAGATATTTACCTACCAACATAAAGAGGAAGAGAAGGAAGCAAGTCAGAGATTCAAGAGGGAGCAGCAGATTTCTTAAACTCTTACTCTGCTCCACACACACCTTTAGTGAACTTGTACGGCGTGCGAGCCCCCAGGTCCATGATGTGCTGCTTGGCCAGGCTGAGTTTGTTCTGCAGCAGTCCTTTCTGGCTCTCCAGCGTCGCCACTCGGGCCTCCAGTTCTTGTATGGTGTCCTCCGTGTCCCTCTCCTTCACACCGCTGGACCCGGGACGGGCCTGACGGAGACGCATCAGTCTCGCGGACATCCTGGGTCAAAGCGGAGGAGTTAAAGTGACCACAGTTCGCAAAAAGAGGATCAGTCTTCTGTAGCTACAGTAAAAAGTGTGGAAAACCTCTCTACTTAAATTACATACTGAGCTTTTCATTTCAGCTAAATAAGATGTGCCCTACTTTGCCCAGGTGCCCTGTGCTTGGTAAAAAAGGGTGTTCTTTCTGTGAGACTGTGTGTTACCTGCGCAGCCTTTGCTCTTGTGTGCGAGTGTGTTGTCTCAGCACACTGTTCTCCTCCTGCAGCCGGAGGCAAAGGTCCTCCAGGTGCTCCCTGGGAAACCGAAACAGGCGCTGAGGATCTGCTGGGACGAGAGATGCATGAAGAAGTACACACAACTGAACTGTAGCATCAAATAAAGATCAAATAATCTGTACATAAGTTATAAAGACGCTGTGTTGTTTCCATTTACAGTATGAAAATTTGAGTGGAAATCTGATACCTTTTGTCTTCATGGCGTGATGCTTCTTCCAGGATTTGACATCACGGAGAGTATCTGTGAAAATGGCAGCACAATTAACAAGAATGTACAGTCAATGAATGGCAAAATCTGGACTCCTTCTTTTCACTCTCACCATTAATGTTGATGCTAAATTGTAACTCAAAACTAAAGAAAACAATTTTAATCAGAAAATAGACATTACTTATGTGTCTCCAGTGGGCAACTATGTAGGCTGTCATTAAGTAGTTTTGAGCAGTATACACACAGGAAGACTGCAGGTTATCAACGGGATGTATTTTAGCCATTTTGACAACATTCTAACAAACTGTCAAGTCAACTCTTTCCCAGCACATGCATGCAGAAGGTGAATAGGATACTCATAGTGATTGCTGATTAGATAAACACATAATCAGTCTTCTTAAATTCCTTCCATATACACTGTGACACATTACCAATTGAGTCAAGGATATTAAATGCTTTAAAAATATAAAATTAAAGCCCATTTATTAAAAATGTGTAGACAATAGTCCACTGTGTTAAGTCTATAACAGCCTTCTACTGACCATCAAATATAAAGGGGATCATTGTGAGTTTCTTTCATCATGTTTGTGTTCTTTATCCAGGATCTCTGGTGTTAATTCCTGCAACTCCAAGGTACTGGTCACTAAAGCTTCTAAACATTACAGAAAAAGACACACACCAACCTGGGACAGCTGGCATCAGTCCCCCTCTCATCAGTCCCACATCTCTGACCGGGAGATCCCCGGCCGTCTCGTCCATCACTGGCGACATCACCTTCCTCCGCTCAGCCTCAGCCAATCAGGAAGCTCCAGTCTTACAAGCAGGAGAGTAGGTGAAGCGAGGTCATATTAAAGATGACTATAAATATGACTTGTATTCACGTTCATTATCTAGTGTTTGCCTTTAGTCTGCATTTAGCCATGTACATTAAAGTAGGTGATAGAATGCCTCATACACAAGATGACATTTCAAACACACGAGGAGAATAATTTTATGACCTGCTTAAAATCCCATTTTTTGAGTGACAGATAAAATCAACAGTTTATAATTGCTCAAGCCTGGAGATGCTGTCAACTCCACAACACAAGTTCGACACACATGGCTGTGCAGCTATAATAGACGAACAAACTGATGGTAGGACAGCGGTTTGCAATTTGATATCGTCTTCATTTTTACGACATACATTCAGATATCAACACTGAAAACAAAGCAAACAAAATACGTGACTCACCCTTATCCGTCGGCCAATTAGCCTCTACCTCATGCAATGAAATGTGTAGCGTTCCTACTTTATCCCGGCGTCCAGTCTAACCTGCAGACTCTCTACATGTGTGTGTCTCCGCCTTGTGCTTGGATGGCAGCAATTTTAATCCCTCTTCAGCCTTTCCTCCCTCAGCCTCTTTCAGTCCTCACAGATATCTTTTCCAGTTAAAATCCTTCCAAGAATTCACAGTCGTGTTGAACTTGAAATGACCACAGTGTTTGTTTGCATGCATTTAGTTCAGCGACATACATGAGTGTGTAGCATTTGTGTATAATGCTTCTTCTTAATATTCAATCCTCAAGTCCATCCGAGTGCTGCCATCTGCCTTGAGGCTAATCCTATTTCTGTGCTAATCTGATTAACGAGCGTCAGGTTGTAAAATGTGTTCTGAAGTCAGTTTAGTGGTTCGCCTGCGATGACAGAGGACAGCTATTATTGGAGCTAGGCAGGCCTAAGATCTGTGCTCAGCATGCTGCTTCTTTGGATAGCAGAACTGAAGGGAGGAAAAAACAGGGGGGAGGAGGATGAGAGTAAGCATATACAATAGATAGAACAGGTTATTGAAGGAGAGGTGGGATTCAGAAACAGAATGTGATCCATGTGTGGAAGTACTTACTGTTGGGAATGAAGCATTGGATAGCGAAGAACAGTATATAATAATGAACGGCACTAATTGAACCTCTGTATGAAAGATCCCAGAGAAGAGTGTTTAAAAGTTGTGAAGTGAAACCAACAGTGTTTGTGGTGATGAAGTATTTATTGCCCCGTATGCACATTTTTCACTCCTAAATCAGTCATTTGTGATTTTAAACACAGATCATTTGTACCTCTGGATGAATTGTTGCAACAATAATCATACTCCTGCTAGCTACTGAAGTGTGATTTAATTTAACAACAAAGAAAGTTGCACAGTTTGCCTTTGCGACTGCTTGAAATGTTATAATGTTGTGGAGTTTAAAAAATAACAAGAACAGTTTTATGATACACATGTTACATCCTAGGGCTGCAAGGTCACCGGTTCGCGTCCCGGTGAGGACACCCAGGATCTTTCTGCGTGGAGTTTGCAGCAAGGGTTGTCTCCGGGTTCTCTGGCTTCCTCCCACAGTCCAAAAACATGTTGAGGTTAATTGGTGATTCTAAATTGTCTGTAGGTGTGAATGTGAGTGTGCTTGGTTGTCTGTGTCTAAGTGTAGCCCTGTGATAGACTGGTCACCTGTCCAGGGTGTCCCCTGCCTTTGCCCTAAGTCAGCTGGGATAGACTCCAGCCCCCCCACGACCCTAGTGAGGATTAAGCGGTGTATACTGGATGGATGGATGGATGTTACATCATATAGTAATGTCATCTAAATCCCTGTCTCCGTAGATTTCACTCACAGGCCGGATGATTAGTGGCGATTTGTTGCCACCGCTTTCACTCATATCCGGGTTAAAAAAGGGAAACATGGCCTCGGTGAACCGGAACCGTGTGAAAGAATAGATGTGTGACTTGGCCTCCGCGTCGAAGAACGACACCATCCCATCCTCGTGATCCAAAAACACCCCAACAACCTGTGGCCTCTGAGGAAGCGACAGCAGCTCGGCCTGTCCTGCACACGCTCGGTACTCGCTGTTCCTCCTCAGACAAACCGTCCAATACCCGTCCTCTGGGCTCAGAGTGACCAAACCCTTCCTGTTGACCGACTCTCGAGCTACGCCCAGATCCCACGCTGTTTTGTCTCCCACGTCCACCTCCCAGTAGTGCCTGCCTGTGGTGAAACCCTGTTGGAGAGGAGGTCACGCTCACTATTCATTTCTCAGAGAATGGAACAGAACGACGTAATGTTCACACACAAACCACATCTTTATTTACCCTGAGGGCGAGGACACATGGAGCTGTGTCAAAGCGCTCTGGTAGGTCAGCCAGGCTTTGTTCAACGTCTCCATCCTGAACCTGCTTTCCGTCCTCTGATAGAACCAGCCAAGGGTTGGCTGTCCTGGGGTCCAGATGAAGATCATCTGGTCGACACAGAGAGTTTATGTGGAACTGCATTATCCTTTAATTTCTATTAATAGATTACTTTTTATCTTTAGCTTCCATCATTTAAGGCAAGAAACTGAATCACAGTTTCTCTCTGTGTTAGAAAATCTGGTCATATTCCTCTGCATGCAATTTAACAGTAAATTAACAGATTAATTTCAAAAAGACATAATTAATACATGTATTTATAGCCGCCACACTATAAAAAGTAGTTCAGGAAACTTGCTACCACCACTTAATTAAATATATGGTTGCAGGATAAAAATTAAAATTGGCTGATTTAGATAAACCTTTTAATTTTTGTTGGCATAATAATGTTGGTAATTACAGCAACTTGACATTCTGTGTAAAATAAATGGAAATTTCTGGATTAATTGATTTTAAACAAAAGTTAAGTTGAAGCTTAATAGATTAAACTGGTTTCATATTTTTCTGCACCTTAAGTTCAGGATTTCTTGTGTTCATTCTGCCATAATGTTGTTCATTAGTTAAACATAAGTTTATTCAGATAGGCTGACATTAGTTTTTGTTGTTGTTTTTGAACTTAATCATTTGTTAGTGTAAATTAATTTTCCAGTGAGTTTCACATATTCATTTTCATTGTTGCATTATTTTCTCATTTTGAAACCCGCTGACACGTTTAGATTTTTCAAACAGGACAAAAGACATAACAGAGAGAGAACAGAGACAGATAAGTTATACCTGCATACTGCTGCATCTTGTCATGTTCTGGAGGTGAATAAGAACATGTGATCAGAAATAAAGCAAACAACGTTCATGTGTTTAATCTGTGATCATGATATTTTATATTTAGATGTCTTATAATGTAGTGATGCTGACCAAAAAAAAAAAGTCTTTCTAGAATTCAAACCTCTAATAGAAAGCTTCGTCATTACTGATTGCAGCTGCTGTTCAATGTTGGCCACTGCTCTCCTCAGAGCCCCCAGGCATGTGTGTGAATGAACAACGATGTCAGAGCAGGGTTTGACGGACGGAGGAGAGCTGAGAGCTGGAAACCTCTGTCAAACACCAGAGATATGACTTTTAGAAAACAGAAGAGGAGAATGCAGAAAAAAACCCCACTGACAATTGATCGTCCTCTCATTAGGCAAAGGCTATTCATCATGTGTGTTCAGGTTCATTCATGCTTCTTTTCAACAGTCCCTCTCGCTGTTGAAAAAACTCCTGACCTGCACAACATGGAGGTGGTCCTCAGTGTGAAGAAGCTGCTCCATCTCACTTCTTCTCCTCTGCAGCTCAGTGACTTCCAGCTCCAGCTCGCTGATGAGCCTCTCAGCCCTCTGTTCGGCTGCCGTCTGCTTCCGCCGGATCGTCTCCACCAGCTCGGCTTGACTTCTCTCCAGGGTACGAAACAGAGCGGAGAAAACCTCCACACTTTCCTCGATGTCCCTCTTTGAGTTTTCCTGCGAGATTCAAATACGGTTAAAAAATCAGTTCATTAAGTGGAAGCACTACGAACAAAACAGGAGATCTTTAGAGCAGAAAAATTCCTACAAAAATTACACATGGATATTTTTAAAAACTAAGTTACCGCCCTTTCAGAAAAATCACCACGACCAACTGAATGTCTTTATGTAGACGATAGTGCTGAAGGAACTGAAGATGTTTTATTTTCATTTGAGTTACGTGGTTTGGTAGCTGGTAATAGTATAAAATTAAAGCTGCGACAAACAATATTAGAATATTTTTATTATCTATTGATCAGCAGATTATTTCCTCAATTAATCAGTTAATCATTTGGTCTATGAATCAGCAGGAAACAGTGGGACATCTTCTGATATGTAGTTCTGTCTAACCAGCAGTCCAGAAGCCAAAATATTAAATCTATTATCATGGAAAGAATCTAGAAATGCAGCAAATTCTTCACCTGGTAATATTACCAAACTAAAACCAGGCAGGTCCACAAAGAAATGTCAGGAAAGTGATATTTATAAAGAAACTATTTCCGTTTTTTGGAATGACTTTTTTTTTTTAGCACCAAAAGGAACCATTTTTTGCTGATTGTCAGAGGCAACTTTGTTTTGTTTTTTTTCACTTTGTGAAGAAGGTGTTCTTTAAAGAACCTCTTGGCAAGAGGCTCTTTGTGGAACTAAAAATGGTTCTTTGATGGCATCACTGCAAACAACTAGTTCTTGTTTGACTTCTCACAGATATTTTTTTGAATTAACTATTTATATATAACAAATAGTTGGTAAATAATTATACTTTTCTGTTGTGCACTACTGAATGCATCATTTGAAGATTTGTAATGCATTTTTATTTATAGATTTCTTCTGACTGAAAATGACAAGCTTAGACATTGATGCCATCCCCAGAATAAAACATGACTGTGAGGACGTCAGTGCTTTAGGGTTGTTTCAGGGAGTGGACCAGGCAACCTTGTCAAAATAAAGGTCATGAGAAAAAACTTGGCCTATGGGCAGAACTGAACCTTCTAACAAGACAGTGATATAAAACATAGAGTGAAAGTGGTCAGGAAAATGATTAAAACAGTAGGTCCTGAGTCCCTCCAAGAATCTGTGGAGGAAACCAGAGTGATGCCAACCTCAAACACCTGGAGATCGTCACAAAAGAGGAGTTTTCTAAAACCCCAGTGGAGACATGCAGAAAGCTTGTCAGCAATTACTTAATTAGTGACACACAATGTGTTACTATATTTTCTCTCTTGTTTATTTCCAGCCAGAAGAAATTTACAGGTTAAATAAAAACTCACTTTAAATTTAAATCTGTCATGTGTACTTTTTGTCTTTATTCTATACATGTGCCTCTTTTCTTACATTTTCTACAAAGACTGCTTAAGCTGCAGTTCTTCCAGGAAACATGCAGCCATTCTGATCTCATGTCAACTCACTTTGCTGAGCTCCACAGACAGTTTGACCTCCTCCACTTTCTGCAGTCTGTCCTTGATCATCTGCTCGACATCAGCCTCGATCCTTTTCATCTGAGCCTGAACATCAAAACAGGATAAACAGACCAAAAAGCTGCAATCAAAGTTGGAATCTAACTGAACTTTAAATGACAGGCACTATGGAATTTAACCCCTCACCTTCCTCTCCTGGCTTTCTCGTTCCACTGGGACGGTGTCGTGACAGCGGTGGTCTGTCTCGGTGCACAGCACACAAACGCTCCTCTGATCGCTCCTGCAGAACAGCTCCATGAGCCTTTGGTGCTTTTTACACATCCTGTTCTCCAGCGTCGCCACCGGCTCGATCAGCTTGTGAATCTTCAAGGTGGCGACTCTCAGGTGGGGCTCCAGGTGACTCTCGCAGTACGAAGTCAGACACACGAGGCAGGACTTCAGGGCCTTCGTTTGTTTTCCCACGCACACGTCACAACGTACGGGTTTCCCTGGCGCCGACGTCACACCGTTCCACCTTCTCGCTCGGATCTGCTCTGACATTTCCTTGGCGAAGGAGTTTTCACACAGCTCCGGGCGCCCCTCGAACACCGTCTGGCATTTGGGACAGCTGATGGCGGGGCTGTCATCCCAGAGTGATGTGATGCAGGTGAAGCAGAAGCTGTGACCGCAGGGGATGGAGACAGGCTCAGAGAAAACATCCTGACAGATGCAACACTGAAACTGCACCTCGGACAGAAGGACGCTGGGGGAGGCCATGACCTTTGGATGAAAGAAAGAACATCAGCTTACTGATAATAAGTCTTGGCAACATGAAAACATTTACAAATTAGAGACCAGAGAGTTTTTCAAAGCACTTCTACTACAGCCACACACATCTGAACATCCTTATCACTGGCTTAAAGAATTCAAAGCTGCCCACTGGCCAAAGTCCAGCTGCATGGTCACGTGACTCGGCCTCTCACTCGCTCTGCAACATTAGCATGAACCACCACTGGAAATGAAACTCCACCATGCCTCCTCTTTTCAACACTGTGTAATTCATCATCATGCAAATGTATCAGCACACCACTTTCCCATAACACACTGCACACGCCACCAGGAATCAGAAACCCAGTGGCTTTGAATATACATTTGTGTGGCATAAAACAAAGCAGAAACATCAGCATTTACAGAATCAGAATTCTCAAAAGATATTCATCTATGATTTTGTCTTGGTCTTACCTGTTTACTGAATGTGAAAGTTGACCTCTGAGGTAGCGAAGGCAAACACTAGCATTGTGGCTGTGAAGACAAAGTCCTTCCCACTGTGCTGCTACCACTCCCTCTGGTACTCTTTTTTTTTTTTTTTCTCTTCAGAGCTTTTGCATGTTGTTTCATTGTGGGAGGAGTTAAGTCTGGATCAGGTGTGTTACTGGATTTGTATTGCGAGGCAGGTGTTTGTAGTGTGTTATGGACTGGTGTTGTATTTGTATTGGACTGAGCAACAACATGAAAGCACCTGAACGAGTCACATTTGTCACTTTATTTCTAATTGGCAAAAATATACAAAACAATTTAACCAACACAATACAATAATATTACAGTACAATTTTAATGCTGAAAAAATACTTCACAATTTCCAATCTAGGTAGAGTTACAAAAAAGACAAAGTATGATCCCTGATACTGCTACATAAAACGCACACGGTGATGTTTCATAATGATTTTCCAAAGCTTTACATCATTTGTGTTTTTGTTCTCTTCAAGGAAAGCAATTTCAGAATGTGCAAAGTTTTCCTTCATTTTATCTCGTCTTGTCTTCATTGGTCTCACGACTCAATGGATCGAATCTTCAGGGACAACAGTTCTGGTGGCAAACCGTATCGTCTGAAGAGCTAGATTTAAAAAAAAAAAAAAAAAAAAAAGTAAAAAAAGGACACAATCAAAATTTTGTGTGTAAATACTGGATTAAAAACATGACTTGCATATGATTTGAATGAAACATGACTGTGAGCTGCTTTTGACAAGACTCACCTCCGCCAAAGCATTCTCAATGTCTGACTCTGACAGTGGATTCACTGACTTTAATTTGATGTTCAGTCCGACAACATAATCTGTGGACATGAAAACACATTATGTTAGATAAAATAACAACATCTCAGTGTAAAATACTGACATGGAGTATTCCATTTGTATAACTTTGTATTTAACATCATTTTAAATATCCATCCATCCATTATCTATACACCGCTTAATCCTCACGACGGTCACAGGGGGCTGGAGCCTATCCCAGCTGAATTAGGGTGAAGGCAGGAGACACCCTGGACAGGTCACCAGTCTATCACAGGGCCACACTTAGAGACAGACAACCAAGCACACTCACATTCACACCTACGGACAATTTAGAATCACCAATTAACCTCAACATGTTTTGGACTGTGTGGGAGGAAGCCGGAGAACCCACGCTGCACGGGGAGAACATGCAAACTCCACGCAGAAAGATCCCGGGTGTCCTCACCGGGACGCGAACCGGTGACCTTCTTGTTACGAGGCAACGGTGCTAACCACCGAGACACCTTGCAGCCCCATTTTAAATATATAATAAATAGAAAAAAACACTATATTTACATCAGAATAAACAAATAATGTCTTTACGTAATCCGATTATGTTAGTTGTTATAACTACTAGATGTGTTTTCTGCATTTATAAAATTGTGAGTTCACTCTCTGCTTTTAAAACAACAATAGCCTAGTTTCTGTTCAACAATGAACTTTTTTTTTTGTCAAATTCAAAGAAGAGGTGCATATACTTACTGGGTCCTTTTGTTGTAGGATGGAAAGTCAAGGTTGGTGTGAGTTTACATGGAAAGAAGAATATGTTAGGATGAATTCATATTTTGTTCATACCTTTCTATCTGTCTATCTATCTCCACAACATAACGTACATGATATGATACTAAATAACATTTTAAAATTATGATATTAAAATGAAAAATAAACTAAATATGCTCAAAAATGTGACTGCACAGAACAGACAGAGAGCTCAGAAGTTATCAAGGAACAAGGAAATGCAACCTAAAACTAAAAAGTAGCTGTTAAGATCAGAAAGGAGGAAGAGAAAATATTTTCAAATGTAACCACGATATAGATCAACACAGAAACCTGTTCTGTAGCTGCCCAAATTGCAAAGTTAAGATTTTGTTTGCTGATGCTAACTCGCATGAAGCTCACAAACCACGAGTGAAACTGTCTGTAAATCATCTTGCCAAGTGTGAACGAGAAAAGCTGGTAGACTACAAAATTAATAAAGCCAGACATCTTACCAGCGACTGCAGTAATGGTGACTCCACTGCTTCTGATGTTCTCAAACACAGAGAACAGAGTGAATGTGTATTTAGTTCCAATAGTGAGAGATGAGACTGTGTGATTTATTGGTCCATCTCCAGCTGGTGCATTGAAGTTTGTCTCTGTCCCATTAAATAGCAGAATGAAGCTGACATTGTTGTTCACTTTATTCCACTGCAGGGTGACGCTGGTCTCATTTCGGCTTGAAAATTTGAAGCCTTCTGCATTTTGAGGAGCTGAGAATGAAAAAGAGCAGCGACATGATTGTAATAAAACAAGAAACTAATTAAAAATGAAATGTACTCCTTTTGGCTGTTTGCACTGATACATCCTGAATCACTTATAGGTTAGCTTCAAGGTGTAGTGACTGATATCACACATCTCAGTGAACATCATCTGTCACCATCTACCTGCTGTACCTGTTTATGCCCAATCACTGCCACTAACTGGATGCCATTGAAAAAGTCGTTGTCCTTTGGTCTTGCTTTTAATCATACGTTTATGTTAAATCTAAACTGCCAGCTGCTGTTTACTGGTCAGTGACTCTCTTCAAGTTGGATGCAACAACATAATTTATGTTGTATAACTGGTTCAGTTTTACACTAGGTTTTAAAGGAAACAAAAATAAGACAACAACAATATCACTGTGCCTAGTTCCATACACACCATGAAAGTTAATTATCTCACCAGTGACTGCAGTAATGGTGACTCCACTGCTTCTGACGTTCTCAAACACAGA